GAAGTATTGGCCTTCTTGAAAACTTAGGCTGGTATTTGAAATTTTTGACCTAGTGCTGCTTCTGCCGCCGACCCTCTCTGTTTTTAGGGAATGATTGAGGCATCCCACAAAAACACAAGGTAAACATCGGCAAAAATCACTTTGCATTTCAAAGAATATATATCTATATAATATATTGCATATTTACTAGTATTTTTCTCGTGAAAATTTGATGACCAATCAAGTAAGAGTGTACGACGCTAAAAATTTCCTCAACGAAATTCTTAGCGCGTTTCTCTGTGCAGAGCGAGAGTAGGTTTATAACCTCCAAATGCCTTTTAAAATTGAGCAAATATCAAAATATGATAAATATGTGCGCGGTTCGACATACATGTTACTAGTGTTAGAGTAAAGGTGCGTCCCACCTAACGAACGAACATGAACGAACATAAATGAACGTACCAGAACGAACGGCAACAGCATAGTGTGGACGCCACAACGATCACGAACGAACATAAACAAACATGGCGAGCAATGTTCCGCAACTTGTCGGTACATCAAAGGGAATTGTTCGTTCATGTTTGACTCGTATGTGCAAGTGTGGACGCTACCACGAATGTTGACAACCATTTTTTCTTTTTTTATGTTAAAATGTGCATTAATGCATTAATTTATGTTGTGTTTATTATAAGATATTGCTGTTATTGACAAATTTTGTAAATTTGATGACTTAATAAAATTTTTTGCTCTTCCCGCCACTTTAAATAATAAATCTGACGTTTCACGGTACATCCTCGAACAAAAAGATTCAAGCCCTCACTCTTTGAGGCGTTTGTTTGGAATTTTTCGCGTTCGTTCGTGTTCCTGTTCGTTCTTCTTTGTATTTTCTTGTTCGACATGTCGTTCGTTAGGTGTGGACGCACCTTAATTCTGCTGGCCCACTCCAACCTGTGGCCCACGTCTGTCCACTTTACTATTTGTACATTTAGATTTAGATTTGTATATTTACATTTTTCGGATATACGTCAAATATAATACAACAATGGCATTAAATATATATTTGATTGCAATGTATTTATTGCAAGACTAAAATACTTTTCGAATAATTCTAATTGGATATCTCCATTTTCTCAAATACTGTCATTTTTGCCTTATATGTCCAGAATGGCTGGACCTATCATTGCTCGAAAGTACGAATACAAATAGTCAATACGAATTGAATGTCTTTTGGATCAATCTAATCGAATGCTCTGTTCTTTTAAAAACTACCATTATTTGCACTTGTCTCCCCATCACGAAAATTTGTCTGCGCACATGTATTCATACATTCATACATCCAATTTAATAGGGTAGTAGAGTAGAGAAGAGAAGAGATAAAGGTCTACCACCAATAACTTAAAATCAAGTAAATAGAATTTTTTTAGCAATCAGTATTTGCCTTAAATTCATCAAGGAAATCTATAACAAAAGTATTCTCTGTGGTTGTTACTTTTTTTGTTTGGGGCACTTATTAAATTATTTTATAATATGTATTGTCGATTCTAAGTTAAATTCAACATATGCTTTTATATAACCTCTATAACAACTCTGATTGGACTAAAAAAGACCAATTGAACCTTTACCCTGTTTTTTTTATAAAAATAAAAATTTACCAAAATAAAAATAGAGTAACCAACCCCTAACACTTGCTTTCAATCGAAATTTGCAAAAACCTACTCGAGGATATACCTAACAGTTTCCAAATTTTCACGCCGATTGAATGTATGGTTTGTAAAAAATGATATAATTACTATAATAAGTATTACAAAATCGAAATTATTCTATACTTTACGTATTTTTCTATTTTTATAAAACTATACATAATTTTTATATATGAAATTTTATGATTTATGAAAAAATAAAATAAAAAATGACTGAAAATATAAACATAAAGTCTTCAGGGCATCCAACCCCTACCAACTGGTTTAGATCAGAATATGCGATAACCTGTCCTGAGATGTATCTAATATTTTCCGAAATTTTTACGCCGATTGGATGTATTGATTATAAAAAACTATGTAATTATTCTAGTCATTCTTAAATGAGGTTATTTTAGGGTTATTTTTGCTTCTTATATACGTAGTATCGTAGTATTTAAATGTTAAAAAAATTAAAATTGACCAAAGAATATATAAAAGTCTTTGGGTCGGCCAAGCGTTACTATTTTTAATCAAATTTTCCGAAAACCTGATCGGGGATGTACCTAACAGTTGCCGAAATTTTCACGGCAATTGGACGTACGGTTTATGAACATTTACACACACAGCAGCCATGCAGTCACTGCTTTTTTCTATGCATTCAATATTATATAACAATCAAAGTTATTACAGAACTCTACAAGTTATATGGCTAAATTAACAATAATAAAAAAAAATAATAATCACAGAAAGAAATAAAAAAGAAAAAAAAATGAATTACAAATGAAGAAAAATAAATAAATAAAACAAATTATTGATTATTAAGGAGATGGACCATTGTTGCATTAGGAAAATCGTACATTTTAGCATGATGTTTAGTACTGGTATTTTTGATGACATCCACTTCAAAAGGGATGTTGAGGTTATCATGTATAACTTGTTGCTAACAAACCATGGCGCATTAGTAATTGTCCGTAGTGTTTTAAATTGTAATCGTTGAATAAGTCTCACATTTGATTTACTCAACATTCCCACAGTTAGATTCCATATGCTCATACAGGTTTAATTATGGTCTTATAAATTAGAAACTCATTATCTAACGATAATTTTGATTTTTGACCGATAAGTCAATTTAAATTTGAAAGTGTAAGTTTAATTTGTTTATTTTGGCAACGATGTGCGGCTGCCAGGTTAATCTGCGATCCATGTGAATACCCAAGTATTTGACAGACAACTTTGATTCGTATTTGTTTTTCATGTACACAGCTTGATAAGTTGACTTATTAAGCGTGAAGGTAATATAAATTCACTTCGTATCAACAATTTTGATGCGCCATTTATCTGTCCCGGTTACTATTTATTGAGATGATTTTGTAGGATATTAGAAGCAAGAGTAGGATTTTTATTACTAGTGTAGGTGAGGTACGAAAAGGGACCCTGAACACTCCCTTGCGGAACGCCTGATTTTATGGGAAAAAGTGTTTGAGTCACAATTGTTTCTAACTTGATACCATCTGTTAGTTAAGTACGATTCCAAAATTTCATGAAGTCAAGGCAGTAGCAACCATTTAATTTTTGCTAAAAGGCCTTCATACCATACTTTATCGAAAGCGTGGCTTACATCGAGAAACACTGCTGAGTAATATTGTTTAGATTCGAAAGCTTTGTGAATTGAATTCACAATTCTGTGGCACTGCTGAATCGTAGAATGCAGCTTGCGAAATCCAAATTGATGATCAGGTAATATACTACATTCGGATACTATATTTTCAAGCAGTAGTTTTTCAAAAACCTTCGACAGCCTGGGGAAAGGACCAATTGGCCTGTAGAACGTAACCATACTTGTATATTTTCCGTTTTTGCGTATCATAACGGATATTTTAAAAGACTTAGGCCAGTACTCCAATTTTAGCATTGAATTAAATATGTAAGTTATGAAAATGTACGCTTTAATTGATAATTTTTTTAACATTTTGGATGAAATATTATCAATCCCAGGAGATTTTCTACTATCAAGTTTAGCAATTTCTGAAATAATCTTCTTTCGAGAGCAAAATCTTTTCTTAAAGTTGACAGAAGTATGTGGTGAGAGAGGCTGAGAATACAAGTTAAATATATTAGATTCAGCTGCATGCGGTTGAAAAACTGAACTAAGATACTCAGCAAAAAAGTTCTGCTTTTTTCTTGTTATCTCTTGCCGACTTTTTCTTGTTATCTGATACACGGCTTATTACGCCGTGAGCGCGCTTTCATCGTTCGACTTGGCGCTGTGAGTGTCAAATAAGTACGCTCGTAGCATCATCGTAGCATGTTCGTAGCACATATTTTGCGCTCATACGTGATCCCGCCGCGGAGGTAAGGCACTTGAAAGTGTCATGCCCGTTTATCAAAACGAATGCATGGAATGCATAATCTAATCCTAATTTCATTCATTCATAGTTCAATTCTTAGTTCAATAAGCACGCAAAAATGGCGAGCTGTGCATTACAATTATTTTTTAATATTAATATTAATATTAATTAATTTTAAATTTAATTAATTTTAAATAATTTTAAATTCTAATTTTAATATTACTATTAATTAAGCCTAAGCTAACTAAATTTCATTTATTTATTAATTGGTAAACTCTTTATAATCCCGCAAAAATGCCAAAGTGTATATCACAATTATTTTTTAATGTCAATATTAATATTAATTAATTTTAAATTTATTTAATTTTAAATTTAAATTTTAATATTAATATGAATTAAGCACAAGCAAACCAAATTTCATTTATTTATCAATTGTTAAATTCTTTATAATCTCGCTGAATGATCCAGAAAGTAATAAAATTTACACAATTACCGTTACCGCCAGTTGCAGCCATTTTGATGCTTATTGACGCTCACAGTATCCAAAACGACGGAATTTAGTTATCGATTCTAAGCTTTTATCGGCCAAGTCGAACGCTAAAAATTTGTGCTTATAAGCGTGAGCGCTCACAGCGAGAAATTTTGCTGCCTATAAGCGCAGAATAGTGCGTTGCAGTTGCAGTTGCGATATAATAAGTGATGCGCTTTAGCTCCGACATGTCTTGATCTTTGTTCAGGACTATGTAGATGACAGCCAACTTCTATTGGCTGAAAATTTTCAATTCGTATTTTCTCGAGAAAACAAACTTTTTCGGAAAGTTCCGAATTACTATTACTATTAATTAAATAGTAATAGTGAATTATATTTTGTCGACGACTCAGACATAAGCAGATTTCGCTGCGATCACTGGGGAATCGCTTTGAGAATTGGTTCGAACAGATGGAATCAAGTGACATTCAAGAATTGCTTGAATTACAAGATGAATAATTGGCTGAAACAGGCTTTAAGAATTTGTTGAATTCAGAGCCCATTGATAAAAGAGTTTTCCATGCAAGCGTTGGAAATCTGACATATAATTCAAATAATTTTAAAAACAGTTTGAGAATGCTTTTGCGATTTTTTTATTAAACATTCATTTGTTTATGAATCGCAAAAAACTAAAATTAATTTCTTTGCAGATTTTTACGTTTCAAGACCTTCTGAATATGCCTTAGAAAGAATTGATCTATGATCCACGATCCATACATAATTCTATTCGTTGTATTTACATTTGCGGTATATTTGTGGAATACATCACTCTTGAATACAGAACTCGCACTGTGAATAAAAATTAATAAATAAAAAAAATGTTTCTTACAGATGCAAGCTCCTCTAATGAGGCAGTCCATTTGCAGCAGCGGCTACGAAGCCTTAGCACTGAACTTGTTACTTTACGCAACCGACTACACGTTGGTAATCCCGGCGCTGTGAGCTGCAAAGATGATTTATCAATGCCTCGCGCAACAACAGCTGGAACTGATTGTAAAGTAACTGATACTTCAGCCTGCACGACACAGACGAAAATCTCCCACAATGTTAACGGCGCCCAGGTTATTGCACCACCAAGTCTTCCTCATTCACAACGATCCGTTGTTGTGCAGAAACTGAGCTCTCATGGTATGAATAAAGTATAGAAAGTATATTATCGTTTTATTCACAAATAAGTACATAGAGCTAGAGGAATTTTTCATAAAATTTTAGTTACATGATTTTTCACTTTAAATTGATTGAGTTAACCAACGATAATTTTATTTTCACTTTTATGGATAACAAAACATTATGTCATCTCAATTATATATTTTTGTAAACAATATTTTGTAAGATATTTTTATAGAGATGAAAATACGTAATTATAAATTAAACACTAAATTAAATAGATGAATCATTGCGTCAATCCTAAAATGTATGGTATTTACCAGCATATTTTTCAAGTCTGAACACTGTTCTTCCGTCTGCTACTGGGCGTACTACCAAGTACATCAAGGTGTCGGGTCACTACGGACTATCCATAGGGACTATCATATATTCTATTCATCACAATCATTCATTCGTTGCAGTCGTTATTGAGAATACGTCGTAGAAAACAAAATCTACATTCAGTATACACTGTTGTGCACCCTAGTGCTAACAATAAATATGTTGAGATCCCAACACCGGTACCAAATGTTGTGGATTCGCCGTTGCCAACAATTATGTTGCGTCACGCCAACGATGTCAACATTTATAATTAGGTTCTTCTGCTGCTAACATCTAAGCCTTTATCACTGTGGAAAAATTTAATTAAACATTTGAAGACGTTTATTACCTTTATTTACTTCATTATTCGGTTACACTTGAGTACAACTTAATACACAATTAATATATTGAAGTGAAGACTGATGTGAAGTGATTGAAAACTAGACTAAGAATGAACGGTTGGTTTCGTCATCCTCAAGCTTTTATAACCTCTGATGATGACGCAACCATCCTTCTAGAAATGTTCGTTAGGAATGATTCATTCTTATTTATTTGAGACGCAAAACCTTACAAAAACCGTTGCTCTGACTCGCACGTGCGTCTTATCTTTGCATACAATGTTGCAAGGCTATGAGCTGTGAGTCAATAACGTATATACTGCGTCTTTCATATTGACTGTTATATAGAATTTATAATATTATTTATAATTATTACAAAGGGGTGGATAGCACTACAACACATATAAAAACACGCATAGAACCGTACATTTCCCTATTTTCATGTCAAATAATTAACCCTTTCAACTCGAATGCCGCCGCACCGGCGACAAGATGCATAAAATTTTTGAAATGCCCGAGTGGAAAGGGTTAATTTTTTTTCAAAACGTAAACATTCGTTTGGGAAACGAAATAATATTTTTCATTTTCACGAAGCTCAAATAAACGTAAGTATTTTATTAGGACTACATATTAGTTTGTCTTACAATTCTTACATCATACATCAAATTACCTAAGTTATATAATAGCATTATTATTTATTGATCATCATTGTCAGTTTTTGGCGACATTTCTATATTATCTATAGATGGCTGATAAAAATATAATAATAGATTTTCCCTATTGCTGATTTGAATTGAAACAAATTAAACTTCATAATTAATAAAAAATCATACAGATGGATCAAAAGGCAAAGAACCAAACAATAAACAGACATCACCTGCATGCAATACTACGTCAAAATTTAACAATAATACTTCAGGCATGGTGGAACAAGATGGCAATAAAACAGGATCTTCATATGATTTAGAAGATCTTATACGTCTGCCTGGACCACTGACAGAAGACGCTGTTATGAAATCATTACAAACACGCTTTGTAAACAAAAAATGTTATGTAAGTACAAATATTTATTGTATGCACATATGACACCCAAATAAGTATACACACATGTATATATATATATATATACATATATATGTATATATATATATATATATACTAGCAAACCCGACGAACTCCGTTTCGCCACCAGATAGTTTCGTGAGAAAGATGAAGAAATTTTTTGTTTGTTTTATATTTTAAAAGGAGAAATTTGATTTTATTATACAACAGTAACGAATTTATTTTGATTACAAAAATGAAGTGTTTTTAAGTTGAACTTCTCTAAGTAAATGAAAGTGAACCCGCAAATTATCCATTTATGGAAGTGATCTTTGGTAAACCACATTTTTTGTTTTTTGGTCTGACGTTAACACAAACAAAGCGGATGGTTTTCCAACTTGTGAACAGGTAACGTATAACTGCCCATGTGAAAAACAATGATTTTCTAAATAATCTATTTGAAATTTATCCCGCAAACACTAAGCAATTGGCCTTGCGACATGTTATTGCGAACGCAAGGCGAACTGAATATTGCAATCGTTTGAAGTCAAACGGAAGACCAGTCAGAATCTTCGGTATGTCACCAAATCGCCAGCAATTCTTGCCGCAAAGAATAATAATCACTTAACCAAGCATAATTCTGATAATTCTCACTAATGTCATTACTCGAATTTTTAATTACGGTGCGTAAAGTTCCAGCAGCTTGCATTAAGGCACGACGCCATGCACAACTAATTTTCTTAGCTATAAACCTTGCGGAGCCCGAGACCTTTCGAACGAATGCAAAATTGTCGAAATCGGTTCGTGCGTTCTGGAGTTATTTTGTCAGGAAGAAAAACCGGACTTATTTTTATATATATAAAAGATAATCTATTTGAAATTATTTAAAACAGTTATTGATTATTTTTATTACTCGAATTTTTAATTACGGTGCGTGAAGTTCCAGCAGCTTGCATTAAGGCACGATGCCATGCACAACTAATTTTCTTAGCTATAAACTTTGCGGAGCCCGAGACCTTTCCAACGAATGCAAAATTGTCGAAATCGGTTCGTGCGTTCTAGAGTTATTTCGTCAGGAAGGAAAACCCGACTTATTTTTATATATATACAAGAAGAAGATATTGAATAATGATTTTCAGCCAGTTGTCGAAATAAAAGAAACAAATAAATATAAATATTTATTTATAATATACGTTTCGACACAGATTGTGTGTCATCATTCAGCAATCCTTTGTTAACAGTATCTAAAAAATATTTATAAAGTTTAAAAAAAAAAAAAATTAACTTTATATTTAAAATAATTAAAATATATACATACCACACCAAGAAAAATCATTTTATCAATAAATACATATAGAAAAACCAATCATACATTACATATAAAATAAATATAGAAAATAAACAATATTAACTGACATGTTTTGTTTTTAATTTTAAAACTAAAAATTTTTGTAATGTACAGGGTCCGGCACTCGAAGTGCAACCAATTGCTACATTCGGCCAAATGCGATTTATTTTTGGACCATCTAAAGGCCGTAGTCAAAGCTAAAGGTGGTCATATCGAGCAAAAGTAAATTGTTTTTAAATTTTTGTAGTTATGAGCAAATAGAACGCAAACGAAAAGTCACGTGACACACAAGAAGTGTTTGGAGATGGATTTTCAGAGATAATATGATATTCATGAGATAGAACTATCCCTACTAATCAGCACATCTCCCTTTCAAAAGGAATCGAATGTTGTTTGAACCATTCAAATCGGTTGATCCATGCGCGCGAAAACGTGGACGAAAAAATGCGTACATACAAAACACACATACACACATCCATTTTTTCTGAGGTATGTCAAAATGTTCAAAAACCTTCAAAACGTCAAGAAATGCAAAAAATTTTATTTTCGATTTTTGGCCCATTACTATAACTACCTTAAGGAAAGTTAACAAATGCTTGCACCTCAATTATTCATATTCAACAATATTGCGCCACATTGCATTGCAGTACGAATTGCGTTTCCATTTGAAAAATGATCAGCTGATGTACTTATAAGTCCATTGTGTGAGCAGATGAAGAAATTAACTATCCAACGGTATTTTCAAATTTACTTGATCTGCTAAAGTTAAAACCACACACGTCAAAATGGAAAATTGATGCGCCACTTATCCTCTCGCGAAATCTTAATCAGCCAAAACTCTGCAACGGTACTCGAATTGCTGGTAAAAAATTAATGATAAACGTAGTAGAAGAAATTCTGTTCTGTTATCATTCTTGTTCGTACAAGTGTCTTGCTATTAGTTATCATACTCTTTATATTATTTTCTAAAACGGTTTTACCACGCTTTAAATGCGTATATTCAGTTATTAGTCTACGAATCGACCATTACAAACTTTTCATAGTCCTAAGTTATAAAGATAGTTTACACATACTTATATTTTTTAAATTATACTTCTTTTATATGTTATTAATAATATTTATAATTTCATTTATTTGCTGCTCTTGTTTGATCTCAAACACATACAATTTAACAGAATAATATTTTATTAACTTCCCGAAGGAGAAGTTTATGCTTTCATAAAAAAATCCGATTTGCTAACTTTATGTTTTTTCGACGTTTCAAGCCATTCTGAATCGAATGAGACCAAATTTGGGTAAAGTATGTGTGTGTGTATGTAAACAGATTTTTTGCCGTAAATAGACGTTTTCTCAAAAACGGCTGAACCAATTTCAAAAATTTAAAAGCCATTCGATGCACCTCGATGAGGACTATTGTTTGTCAGTTCTGTGCGATGATCGGCCAAGCCATTTCTTTATAAATAGCAAAAAAGTGAAAAAAATTTTGTTCACGTTTTAGCCCGCAATTCTGAATCGATTTTGAAAATTTAAAAACCATTCGAAAGATATTGGTTGGGAATCGTGCTGATTAGTTTTTGGTAGTGATCGGCCGGGCTTTCTCAAAAACGCCTGAACTGATTTCAGAAATTAAAAATCCATTTGATGTATCTCAATGACTATCGTTTGTCAGTTTTATGCGACAATCTGCCAAACCGTTTTTTTATAATTTGAAAAAAAGTGTTAAACTTTTCGTCCACATTTAAGCTCATACTACCGAATCGATTTAAAAAAATCAAAAACTGTTCGAAAGCTATTAGTTGAGAATGATACTGATCAGTTTTAGGTGAAAATCTACCGAGCCGTTTTCTTGTAATTAACAGTTGAAACATTTAAGATTTTTATGGAACTTTATTTGGCGATATATATCACGGTGTTATATAACTTATTGAAATATTACGGTCTTACGACTAGTAGTTTAATTTTAAAAAATCATCAAATTTTGAGAAAATTAGACGATTAAACGATAAATTAAAATTAGACGATTTACTTGGTATGACGATAGAGTACTTGGTCTTAATGAACATACTAACTAAACCATTGAAGTCCTACGGAAACTGGTTCAATTATAAAAAATGTTGATTTTTGAAAATTTGCTATTAGTTGATCGGATAAATATTGTGAAAAATGAGTAAAAATAATGTAAAGGATTATGTGATGAGTTTAAAGTTGTGTCAAGGTACATCTCCTTTTAATAATATCAATACTTATTAGATTTTTATTTTTGAAGGTACATTATGACGCATTTGCGTACAGTATTGATGTAAATACATATCATAGGTTTAAAACGAGAGCTATTTTTCTACGGCTGCTAATTTATAAATTTTTATAAATAGCAGGTCCGTAGCAATACGAGCAATAGAATTCGAGGAAATTTGCTGCGGAATAGGTTAATATTCTAACGTTAAAGTGATTTTAATATTTCATTATATGTCACAATAATATTAATTGAACAATTTATAAGCATAAGGAAACTGATTTTCAAGTTGCGAAATCAAATTTTTACATTTAATTATTAAGCATAATTATCATAATTTATGCTTTAGCAAATGGTATCATCTCTATTAATTTTCTTGAATGAGTTTGATTATTACTGAGGGAATAAATCTAATATGAAAATAATTTTTTGGTAGACTAACATCGGTCCTATTTTGGTGGCAGTGAACTCATATAATGACGTAGGCAATTGTTTAACGCTGACCAGTACCAGAAATGTGCATCTCGCGCCACAACTTCGACGGGTGGTGCAAGAAGCAGTGCGACAGCAAAGCGAAACTGGATACCCGCAGGCCATTATTCTGTCTGGTACATCTGGATCGGGCAAGACTTATACGAGTATGCTGTTATTGCGACAACTTTTTGAAATAGCTGGCGGAGGTCCGGAGACTGATGCTTTCAAGCACCTCGCTGCAGCTTTTACAGTTCTTCGATCTTTAGGCTCTGCTAAAACTACCACAAATTCTGAATCCAGCCGCATAGTAAGTATAACATTTAAACTCACATAGTGCACACACACACATATATATATATATATATATATATATATATATATATATATATGATATTCAGTTTTCAGGGCAATACATCAATTAAAAAAAATTTGTATGACTTTAAAACATTTTTATTTCAACATCAAAATTATATAAAAAATTTAATATATATATATATATATATATATATATATATATATATCGACGTAAAATTCTACGTCATCATCAGTGGTTATACAATTGAATTAACAGAAAAAGTGAAGTTAAAAACTAATTATAAACAGCGAAAGAAAAAAGAAATTCAATGATTAAAATGATATAATAATTTAACAAAAATTAAAAATAATAAACATTTTTTTATTTGATGTCGTAATCTATTTAAAATAGGGACAATTCATTGAAGTTCAAGTAACAGATGGTGCTTTATACCGAACCAAGATTCACTGTTACTTTTTGGACCAAACTCGAGTTATTCGATCATTGCCACAAGAAAAAAACTATCATATATTTTATCAAATGCTGGCTGGGCTTTCTAGAGAGGAGCGTATTCGATTCAATTTGGATGGATATAACCCAACAAATTTACGTTATCTACAGGCCTTCGATACGCATCAAAATCAAAAAGAAGATTCTGAAAGGTAAGCGTAATATATATATATATATATATATATATATATATATATATATAAAGGGCCGGTCCTGCCTTGCACGCGATGAATGCGAAAAATGCGGGCGCACGCCCTAAGGGGCGCCAAAACGAGATTCGGAAATGAAATTTATAATACATTATTTATATATTTTTTAATATAGAATCTAGAATACTTAATAGATTATAATAAAGGCTTATGGAAATGGAGCAAATATGAAACATGAAAGCAAAATGTACTTAGAAACAAAAATCGTGAGCTTTTTTTATACCTAGTGGTGTCCATACTAAATCTAATTATTAACTAAGCAGAAATAATGCAGATACAAAAGTAATTGTGTTTTGTTTTCAATATAGTTCAGAAAATAAATAAATTCTTTGCATCATCTAAAATACGTTAAAAATATAACTTTGAAACAATAATCTGATAATCTGAATCTGATGGGAAAGTAAAGATAAATACAATTCGTCTCTTACGTTATCAATAAGGAGAAGTTTATGTTGCAATTTTGAATATTGTTAATAATGAAAAAATAAATTAAAATAAAATTTTAAAAAATCCAAAATAAAATACGAGTGTTATGTTTAAAAATGTTAAAAATACTTCAAAATATAAAATATTTGATCATGTTCAACCCGCAAATCGCTTTGATTTTCTAAATAAAATTAAAATCAATGTATTTTATACGCTTTTAGATTATATCTAATTTTTTGTGTAGTATATCCAGAATGATTAAAAATCAATTTCAAAAAGTTAGGTAAATATTTATATAATTTTAATGATAAATGTTAAAACAGTTAAAACTATTGGGGGGGGGGGTCGCTAGAACAAATCTTGCATCTGGCGCTGAGGACCTCGGGACCGGCCCTGTATATATATATATACTCAGTCTTAGTTAATATTAACAACTATAATATAATATAATATAATAATCACTACGCCATAAATCTCATTACATTGTATGATCTCATATCAATGAACTGTAAATGTAAAAACGCAGTAATTCTCATGAATCTCGATCGGGGAAGAACATAATTTGCACATCTTTGTGATGCTTATGTAAAGACGAACTGATTAGTTTTTGGCAAAGGCAGGTCGAGCCGTTTTGCAGATACAAACCTAAACTAGTGAGGCGCTTAGCATCGTGCCTTAAGGCTAATTGCTGGAACTTCCCGTACCAAAAATTATTATTTATTTAAAAACGATTAACATTTTTGAAAAAAAAATTACTTCGAAAAAATTAGATTTTTGGGAAACTATAATTTTGACAAAAAATTACTTTTTTTGAAAAAAAAATTTAAAAAAAAAAATGTTTTCTTTATTTTGACATATTTTAGAAATTCTGAACTTTTTTTCAAAGCAATCGTACTGCTTTAACTGCATAGAGACGAGATGTAGAAGCGCGTAAGTGCCGCGTCCCGTCTAGCGGATTAACATTGGTACTGTACCCATAGGAATGTAAACAAAATTTATACTTATTGTTAAAATTTCTATGAAATATCTGATAATTTGATGTGCATATGTCTAATGATCATTTTTGACCGCCAAATGGCATTTTTTTACTTTTTTCATTAAATCTCCGAAACCGCTAGACCTGCCTTTATAAAAATTTCATCAATTCTTTATCTTGTTAATACAAGTAAAATGTAAATGTTTCTTGAATTATTAAAATTTTTGGCACTTTTTGCCCCGTATCTTCGGAACCGCTAGACCAGCCTTTGCCAAAAACTAATCAGCACTTTTCGTTATCAGTACGAATCGAATGTTTTTTGAATTATTTAAATCGGTTGATCGGTGTTCCCGAAATCGTCGACGAAAATTTGTATCCGCACACACACACACGCACACAAACACACATACATCCATTTTTTCTAAGGTATGCCAAAATATTCAGAAACGTTTGAAACGTAAAGATATATAAAAATTTTCATTTTCGATTTTTTTGCGATCACTATAACTTGCTCTACGGGAAGTTAAAAATATACAAAAATTTGTAATTTTAAGTAAACGAAACATCCGATTTGATTGAATCAAAAAACATTTTGATTATGTTAACAGTGTGAAGAAACGAATAGTTTTTGAAAAAAGCAAAAAAAATTTTTTTTAATTTCAAAAATTAAAACAATTTTTTTATTTATTTTCCAAAAAACAATATTTGAACATCAAAAATAATTCGAATTAAATTATACGCTTCAAAAAATAATTTCAACAATTCAGTTCATTAATTCTTAGAAATATGAAATAAAGTTGATTGTTCTAACTTCAGTTGATTAAAAGGGTAATTATGCAGTAACCACAGTAAATAACATAGCATTGTTATGGCAACGCTATGTTATGCTTGTTTCTTGATAGTAAAAACTGTGAAAATGTCTATCTAATTGTTGTACGATAATGCATTTTACATTTATAACATAAAACAGTATGTTACAAATGCGCATTACGAAGGTGAGGTTATCATGGCATTCTACTTGCTTGTTTTATACGGAATTGGCCCATAAGTTTTGTTTATTTATCGTTGTCGTATTTAAAAGCCCTTATGTTTTGTCTATAAAATACGAATAATGAAAGTTACAGTTTTTATAATAATCTATTTGAAAACTTTTAATACCTCAAATATTTCATTTCGGCTTAGGAAGTTCCAACAATTTGCCTTAACACACGACGCCACGCACAAATAGTTTTATTTAATTATTATATGATAATGTATTTAGTACTTAGCTTACTAATTGCAATGTCTTTTCCAGGTTTCAAGCTTGGAAGGCTTGTCTGAGTGTCCTCGGAATACCGTTTTTAGATGTGGTGAGAGTTCTTTCGGCAGTGCTGCTCTTGGGAAATGTAATATTTGTGGATGGTAAATCTTTAGAAGTATCGGTTAAAGGCGAAACTGAACTCAATTCAGTAGCGAACTTGTTAGGTAATTGTCATATCTAATAGTTGAAACATAAACGTATTTATAAATACATACGTCAGTATTTTGAGTACAGATAAATGATTGTATTTAATCTAAAAATATTTTATTTTGTGTTACATATAATTTTTTTCGAATGAAGCATTGCATTATGTATAAAGGCTGATTGCTCAAAATGATTTATAAAAAAAGTTCGTAACTCTTTATGTAAATTAAATTTTTTGGTTGTGTTTAGACTAGAGTATAGAATGAATTGAAAGTTCTAAAGTACAATTATTATTTTTATTAGGTTTAAATAATATTACGGAAATATAAAAATAGTTGTTACGGCATTTTTTGAAAGAGTATACGTTTCCGTAAACTAGTAAACCAAAAAGTTTAAAGTGTGCTAACAAGTTTCATCAAAAGTTGTCGCATTTAATAAGGATTGTAAAATGGTAAAATTGTTGATAATATTATAATTAATAATTTTCAGTTAAGAAATAAAAACTGAAAAATGACATGACTTTTGTAATACATTCTAGTCATATTTCATTTAAATGTGTCAAATTTTCTCGATCGTTAAAGGTTGCGCTTACGACCATCATTTGAAATAAGTAATTGTATTGATTGTATTTGTAACTCTTATATATATGATTAATTTATTTGAATATATTTTAGGCGTTCCGGGACCATCACTTTTTCGAGGCCTTACATCTAGAACGCATAATGCCCGTGGGCAACTTATAAAATCTGTTTGTGATGCAAACATGTCTAATATGACAAAAGATTCTTTGGCTAAAGCTTTATATTGTCGCACCGTAGCAACTATTGTGAGACGTGCAAACAGTCTAAAACGATTAGGATCAACGTTGGGAACTTTGAGTTCAGATTCAAATGAAAGTGTACATAATCAAGCTGAGGTCACAAGTCAGCATGCTAGCACTGTAGGTGGAAACTCTGGTTCAAAATCTATGGTAGCCCTCAATAACGCTGTTCGTCATGCTACGGATGGATTTATTGGTATTCTTGATATGTTTGGATTTGAAGAACCAAAATCAAGTCAATTGGAACATTTATGTATAAACCTTTGTGCTGAAACCATGCAGCATTTTTATAATACTCATATATTTAAAAGTAGTGTCGAATCTTGTAGGGATGAAAATATACAATGTGATATTGAAGTTGATTATGTAGATAATGTGCCATGCATAGATTTAATTTCTTCGCTAAGAACAGGATTATTAAGTATGCTGGATGTGGAATGTTCTATAAGGGGAACAGCTGAATCTTACATTGCTAAGGTTAAAGTGCAGCATAAGCAGAATGATAGATTATTCGAACCTAAACCATTAGAGCCGCGTTTGTTCGGAATACAACATTTTGCTGGGAAAGTTATTTATGACGCTACAGATTTTCTTGACATTAATAAAGATGTAGTACCTGATGATCTTGTAGCTACTTTTCATAAGCACACTTGTGACTTTGGTTTTGCAAGTCACCTCTTTGGCAGCGAACTGAAAGCGTTGTATTCACTAGATATTGTTCCTCGGGGTATAAGTTTCAGAATATCTCCTACATCTCATACTGACTTATCAAATGGTGATGAACCGATATCTACATTGACACAAGATTTTCACACACGTCTGGATAACTTACTGCGAACACTTGTGCACGCTAGGCCCCACTTTGTAAGGTGTATTCGTAGTAATGCTACTGAAGCATCATCCAAGTTTGAGAAAAGATCTGTAATGAAACAAATTCGATATTTACAAGTGTTGGAAACTGTAAATTTGATGGCTAGTGGATATCCACATCGAATGAGATTCAAAGCTTTTATTTCGAGATATCGTTTACTTGCACCATTCAATGAATTATGCAGGGAAGAAGATAATGCCATTGATGATTGCAAATCGATAATGCGTTATGCGATAGACGCAATTGAAAAGAAAGAGAAAATTGTTTCAATGGGGTGGGATTTAGGAAAAAGACATATATTTCTAAGTGAAGGAATTAGACAATATTTAGAGAATTTGAGATCTAAAACAAGAAATGATAGTGCGACAATGATACAATCTTTGTGGCGAGGTTGGAGATTGAGAAGAAGGTGGATAGCATTGAAAAGAGAAAGGGATGTTCACATCACTAATTCTATAACCAATGAACATTCCAAGCCTAAATCATTGGGTAAGAATAAAAAAATGTTTTGATTTAATATAAAGCTATAATATATATATATATATATATATATATATATATATATATATATTTCAAAGTAACTGGCAGCCCATTCGTCGAAATAAAAAAGGTATAAAGTATAAAAACTTTTATTTATACGTTTCGACACAAGATGCGTGAGATCATTCAGCAACACAGGACAAAAACACTCAACAAAAATTTATTTTAAAAAATTAAACTTAATAACATATTAGAGAAAAAAACATTTTTTAGAAAAAAATTATGTATAACTAAAAGATTTGAAAACTAATTTTACTAAAAGTTATGAAATACATCATTGTGAAGCTAGAAGCACGCCCATACCGAGCATCTAGACTCGACATAATTTTTTTCTAAAAAATGTTTTTTTCTCTAATATGTTATTAAGTTTAATTTTTTAAAATAAATTTTTGTTGAGTGTTTTTGTCCTGTGTTGCTGAATGATGACACGCATCTTGTGTCGAAACGTATAAATAAAAGTTTTTATACTTTATACCTTTTTTATTTCGACGAATGGGCTGCCAGTTACTTTGAAATATGTTTCAACGTCGAAAAAACTATCAAGATATATATATATATATATATATATATATATATATATATGGTATATATATGATATATATTGTACATGTAACGGCTGGCGGTCGGGTCCATATAGTGTCCGATCCGCGCGAGGTCACATGTGTCTGTGACCAATCAGGATTCCGCGTGATTTGGAGATATACCACCAGGACGGAATGAATGTTATAGAACATTATGAATATATTATATTTTAATAATCTAGGTCAGGGGTCGGCAACCTGATTGCCGTTAAGAGCGCAAAACTAAATCTGAAAATTACCGAGGGCGCATCGGTATGAAAAAAAAAAAGATTTTTCATAACTTTATTCTCTTAGCATAGTATAATATATACATTACGAACATTCAGTACATCGATAAAAGAAGAGTATTATCTAATAATACCTAATTATATACATATAATTTAGTGTGAAACTTGTGTGAAATATTTCATATTTGAAAACAAAGACTCGCAATTGTATGTTGTTGCACAATATGAGAAAATTTTTAGCGCACATTTCCTTAAAATAGGATACTTATTTTCATCGACTCAATTCCAAAACATTTTAATATTACTATGTGCTTTTAAAATAATATCATTTTGCAAGTTTATTATTTCTAACTCCACGTCTTCGATATTACTAATTTCGAAATACACTGAAACACTTTGCAGAAAATCATCTTCGGCAACTTTATATAAAATAAAGGGTTTATAAAAAAAATCCCAAAACGGGTTTTAGTGCTGCGAAATCTTGAAATCTTGAACAAAACTCTTCTGCCAATTTGTCTATAACTTCTAAATATGATGTAGTAGTAAAATTTTCTATATTTATTTTTAGACTTTCAACAATATGCCTTATATTTGGAAAATGTGAAATTGATTTGCGCTAAGGTTATCATACATTTACATTAACCGAGGGCGCATCTAAAGTTGATCGGGAGCCTCTGATCTAGATTATAGAACGTACGAACTTTGCGGTGTTAGGGATTATTGTCTGGTGTTTTTGGTGTTAATGGACTTTGTTGTGGAAGTAATATCGGCAGTAAATATAAAATGATAGGTAATTGTGTCGTTGTACAAATCACTGATCTCTTAGCCTTAGCCATGTTTTCAGGGGACTTTTCTTCCTCGAATTTGATAATCCTCTTTGATATTTTTTAAACCTTTGGAGTCTGAAAATGAATTGTTTAATAAAAAGAGTGCTTTAAGTATGAACTTTTTCTTCAAGGTTCTGTCTTTGAATATAATTTGTGTTATTGAGGTCTTCTAATTATACGGGCAACCTATTTTTGACTACAAAGGACAACGGTTCAGTACGTTGTGTGAAACGACCGTTCACGTAAAAAAAAAAAATATTGTGCGCAGCGTCTATGTGCGAGGCATACATTGCGCTTGCTGAATAGCTATTATTATTCATGATTATTTAATTAAAAAAAAGAATTATATTTTATTATTTTATTTAATTAATTTATTATATATATTGTAATATTCGCAGTTGAACGTTCAGCTGGATGTATTGGCAATACAGGATCTGGTAGGCCAAGACCACAGCCGATTGCTGGTACCCCTCCACCTGATCCGGCAGACAAGTGCGACACTAAGGTTGTTCAACAGACGTGTACCTTATTTGGACTCGACCTGGTGTGTATATAATATATAAAAAACTGGTGGTTCGTGGCATTGTGCATTAAAGCAAATTGATTGAACTTCCCGTATCGTAGTCAACATTATATAAAAACTTTAGAAAACGTAGACGTAAAAAACCTTTAATTTTACTTATAATTAGGTTGTTTTTTAAAGAGTTGTCCACCACTGACACTTTTTGTCAATTGCTTTTGAAATTTTTGTATATATATTTTTTATAATACTTTAAACCATATTTTTACCATCCTTCTAATAATTTTTAATTAAAAAACCTTTGTTTTGTAATAGTCATTTTAGTGGTTCAATCATTTTTATCCCACTTTCAGTTAGCGAAAGCGGCATAAGGATTTCTTAATAATTTTTATTGCAGTTTTCTCCAGCTTATGGAAAAGCTTGAATATTTGGATAAAAAACATTTTATTTTTATTAAGGATTGCTCGCCCTCAACCTTAATTGGTTAAAAATAAAGTTTTCGCTTTCACTTAGATCTAAACATTGTGATTTCCAATTATCTCTCAAACACATTTATAATATCTGTAATCAGGGCCGGTTCTACTTAGAATGCGATGCATGCAAAAAATTCCGGCGCACGATTTAGGGGGCGCCAAAACGAGATTCAAAAATATATAATCAAGAATACTTAATAGATTATAATAAACAATCTAACCTAACTATGGTTATGAAGATGCAAAAAGCATATTTAGTTTGCAATGTGGTGTCAGTAGAAACAATTAACCGATTTATAACTCTGCAAATAATTAGTAAATTATTGTTCTGCTTAATCGATTAAGTGCACAGTGCACAGACATGTGCTTCAATGTCCAAATATTGTAGCTTATTATTTCAAGTTTTAATAAATTTCCGTAGGACAGTTATTTCATGAATTTTATACAATTAAAATATGATGATTCTTAACTCTGAATTTTATTCTTAAAGAATATTTGAAAAAACTTTTCTTTTTTTAACTTCTGGAAGAATTTTTTTATTTTGAAAAATAAATTAAGGCCTGTTTTAGAACTTTTTTCTCTGTATTTTCTAATTCGCAAGATTTGCCTTTCCCATAAAAAAAATTTCTTCTCATTTCTTCAACATCAACATAGGGTAGGGCGGGGCTAGTTGAGCAAATTTTTACTTAAACGGATGTAGCTCCTCAATGAAAAGTCTCAATAAATTGCTATACGGCTTAAAGGATTTGTTGTTTATCGCTTAACAAAAGTGTCAATACTAGTTTTTGGTAATAAGTAAAATTTAAACGCTACAGCTGTTTAAATACAAAAAGTCAAGTATGCTCAATGTACCCCATAGGTGGGGCAAGTTGAGCAGTAAAGAAGTATAATAAAATTATAGGTTCAATGTCGATTAGTGATGAAATAAAATAAGCTTTTAATAACCAGTTCTATATTTATAGTCTTTATTGACAGAGAAAACAAAACTTATAGTAATTTGCTTTGAATAATTAACGATTAATTAAGTTAGGAATTATTTTCCATTATATTCAGTATTTTGGTTTAAAATCATTATTTCTTTATATCATTATTCATAAACTTAGCTTAAATCTTAAAAATAATAATCAATTTCTGGAAGTTAATGGTAATTGTCTTAGTGACAGAACAAGTTTAGCAACTATGCTCAACTAACCCCAACTCGGAATTTCAAAATAAAAGTGAGTTTTTAAAAAAACCGTTAGAATTATACCCAGAATCTCTGTGCATATTAAAAGTACTATAATTATATGGAAGAATAAAATTTACCTGGTTAAAAATAAATAACATTTGACTAAACCAGACGAAAACTCGTGATGAATGACTTTTTTACTTTTTGGTCTCAAAATAAACAAAACGCCCGTGAGCCTCACTCATTTGTCCAGCGGCTACTAGCAATCGCGGGATGTTTATTTCTCCCAAACCTCTATCTTTCCGCCATATAATGCCTAAACGGATGGTGAATAGTTTTCGGGATATTTCGATTGCTCAACTTGCCCCTATGCTCAACTAGCCCCGCCCTACCCTACCGTCATAAACTGCATGGCCATTTTTTGCTCCGAACTCCTGAATGGCAAACCTGGCTTTTGCAAAATCTTATCAGTATGATATCTTGCAGTAACTGCAAAACAAAAGTTTTTTGAATTATTTAATTGGGATGATTTATATTGTCGGAAATGCCGAAGAGATTTGTTTGATCTTTACAAGTGAACTCCAAACATGATAATTTCCCGTTCATTACCCAAAGAAATAAAACCTAATGGAACAAAATT